CGCCGCGCCGATGCGCCGGCCGCCGGGGGTCGAAGGAGAGCTCACGCTGCCTCGCTCTCCTGGCAACCCCTGGGTGACGGAGGAGAGCTCACGCTGCCTCGCTGACCCGGCAGTCCCCCCTTGCTTTCCCAGCTACAGCCCACGAACACGAGCGTGGGAGATGGAGACTACAGCACAGTAGCTAGGCACCTCCTCAGATGCCCTGCTTCCTGCATTTTCAAGCAGTCAGAATCTCAACTTCTTTTCATAGACGTTTATAATTATAAAAACACACGAAAAAACAGAAGAACAAGAAGATAGAGTACTTCTTTACACATTAAGAACTACAGAGACAAAACTTACTTAGCAAAGGAGACAGTATGAAAATGTGTTTTCTCAATTCAGACATATTTTTAGGTAAAGGGGTGTCAAAATAAAAATAGAAAAATTTTCAATTCGAGGTTGTGCAAAGTTTAGAGTCCAACTTGTTCATTAAAATACAGACTTGGGACCAGCAGATGGCGTAATGGCTACATTGCTAGACTCCCATGTAGTCGATAATAATTCGATTCCCGGACCCAGTGGCTTAAATTCACGCCAGGCACGCATGCATGCGTGCCCAAGATCCCGAGAGAATGGAGAAGGGATTGTGGCGTGGCCATCCCCCCTGGGGGGTGATTTCTCACTTTCTGTCTCTCTGGCAAGCACACATGCCCTATAGCAAAAACCTCTCAAAACAAAACAAAAACAAGCAAACAAACAAACGAAAGACCCACAGAATTACGTGGCATAGCTACGATTACAGATGAAAACAGCACATCTGAATCAGCCACGTTTCTAAGAAGGGATCTCAAAAAGTTCAGGGAAAAACAAATTAAAGTGCAAGTTTATTGTGGAAAAAATGCCACAATCAATGCTGGGTTTTTTTCTTAATATTTATTTTGCATGGACTCCTTGGAGGAGACCCCTTGTCTGTATTTATTACTGCTGTTACTTTTAACCCAACAATGTTTTGCCCAGTAAGAGTACAAACAGCATTTTATCAAAGGGAAACAAGAATCTAAAAGCAGACCTCACTGTAAACGGCGTCTGCGTCACAGACTACCAAGCATGAGTGAAGAAGTCGTCCAGGGTTACCGCAACCTTCAAGTGGTCCTTGACTATGGCTCTGGAATTAGGCTACGAAGACGACCCTCTCCACTACTGTGTGGGCACCCCACTCGGACTGGCAAGTATGTGACCCACCTCCCATGCCCGTTATCACCCTCTGCAGTGTCGGTGCACGATACCTCTGAGTTTGTTAACGTCACTGCGTGCGGCGCTAAGGACACGCATGTACTAATTTATCTGTCACTAATGACTACCAAACGGTCTTCTCGTCTCCCATGTGCCAAACCGGGCTACTCAACTATAGATACAGAATTTTTCATGTTTATATACTCGGCTCAATTTTAATATTTCGTAATTTAAAAAGTTATCTAACAGGCCAGCAGATGATGTAGCAGTTACAATACTGGATGTCCACAAGGCTGACCGCGGTTCGAGCCCCAGACCCAGTGGCTTGAAAATCACACCTAGGGACCAGCAGTTAGCGTAATGGCTATGTCGCTGGACTTCCACGTAGTCGACCGCGGTTCGCGTCCCAGACCCAGTGGCTTAGAACTCATGCCGGGCGCGTGTGCATGCGTGCCCAAGATCCCAAGAGGAGAATGGAGGAGAAGGGATTGCGGCGTGACCATCCACCCTGGGGGGTGATTTCTCGCTTTCTATCTCCCTGTCTCTGTCTGTCTGGCGAGTACACGCGCCTTATAACGAAAACCTCTCAAAAAAAAAAAAAGAAAAGAAAATCACACCTAATATGTGCGTGCGTGCCCAAGATCTAAGGTGGATGAGAAGGGACTGTGGCGGGGTGACCCTCCTCCCCAGGAGATGATTTCTCACTTTCCCTCTCATCATCTCTGTCTCTCTCTCCAATGAGTGCACAAGCCCATGGCAAAAACCTCTTCTTAAAAAAGTCACCTGACATTCAAATCCCAGCTGCTGAGCTACAAACCTCGGTGGTGCCAGACGGGGCAGAGGGAACCCGAAGGCAGGAGCGACGTAAAGGTACTGAGCCGAGCACAGTGACGCGGTCTTCCTCCCGAGTCAGGCTCAGAGACCTGAGTCATGATCAGGACCAGGCTGCACCCTGCCTCCTTCAGGTCGGCAGCAGTACTCTGTGACCACCACGGCCCGGCCGCACAGCCCTGTGCCTGCAATGGAGGGTGAGGAAAGGCCTGCACAGACTCGGAACACGGCTGCTAGCCACGGTCTCGGCAGAGCCCGGCAGAGTGCCACACTGCGGCGCCCCGCTTGCAAGTGCAGAGCCGAGTTCAACCCCAGCGGGTCCTCACCAACCTAGCTCCGAAGTGCACACTTGTTCCGTGACTGCGAACACACAATTCCCTCACGGATAAACACCAAGGTGCGCACGACCGGAGTGAGCGTCCCCTACAGACCCGTCGGCCTGGGAGCGAGGAAGTCATACAGGCAGACTTGAAAGAGTGGGGCTGGCAGACAGAACTAACGTGCAGGTTACTCTGGTGCAAAGCTGCGTGAAGTGAGCTCCGGGGAGACCCACGCAGAGGGAACGCACTGATACCTCGTCCCAGATGGGGCGTGGCTGTAACCCAGCAACAGGCATTTCGTACCTGAAGCCTCCCAGCCAGTGCCCCCATCCTCGGACCTCAAGGGGCGCCACCCCCGCCGCTGCCCCTCTGTGGACCCAGGGGAGCAGGGAGGTGCCCTCCGTGGACTCCAGGCAGGTCTCCCTGCCTAGGGCCAGGGCTGTGGAGGGGGCCCGGCTGCTTCTGACCTGCTCAGTTGCCTGCAGTGTTAACTGTGTTCCAGCACCATCTTTTTTCCACTTTTTCCAAATTCTTGGGGGAAGACTAATAGTTGAATCCAAGTGAGAAAGGATCTGAGGAAATGGGAAGTATCTGGCTTTGGGGCTCAGGCTTCTGCAGGGCCACGGCCTGTCCTGACGGTCTGACAGCCTCTGTCACTCGACTGACAGGCCACCAAGTGTGTGTGCACGTCTGGGGTGTTTCAGCCTACTTCTGTAAAATACGGACCACAACTTACAAGGTCTGTAGGCAAGCCCTGGGCCGGCGAGTCCTCCCACCTCCAGGGGCCCGCAGAGCCAAGCGAGGCCCTCAGTGGAGCTAGCAACGAGGACTCCGAGGCCTGGGAAGGCGAAGCATCAGAAGCTACAGGGGGAGAACGTGGAGAACGTGGCTTGGGAGGGGGGTGATTCGGAAGTGGTGAACATGCACTGTTTGGGGTGCTCAGGGAGGCTGAGATCTGAAGCTGAGAGGGAAGGCGAGAACTCAGTGTACCTCCTTCTGAATGGCAAAGGGAAGAAAGACATTCTCTCTAACAACAGAAGCATCAAGAGTGAGGTTTCACAGCGGCTGAGGGACAGCTGTCAGGACGCTGGTGCCATGGCATCACCTGAGCTGACGGGAGGCTGGTGGATGACAGCAGCCACAGTCTTCTGGACCTCGGCAGTGAGGCCGGCACGCTCCACATCCAGCGGGTAGCCGGCCCTCGCAGCCCGGAACAGGTGCATGCCAACTGCCGCGAGGGGCATTGTCCTGCTGTCCGCCACGCTCTCCTGGGGAGAGAACAGCACAGGCCGGGGTCCGCGAGGGGCAGGGTCCTGCTGTCCTCCACGCTCTCCTGGGGAGGACAGCACAGGCCGGGGTTTACGAGGGGCAGGGTCCTGCTGTCCTCCACGCTCTCCTGGGGGGAGGACAGCACAGGCCGGGGTTCGCGAGGGGCAGGGTCCTGCTGTCCTCCACGCTCTCCTGGGGAGGACAGCACAGGCCGGGGTTTGTGAGGGGCAGGGGCCTGCTGTCCTCCACGCTCTCCTGGGGGGGACAGCACAGGCCCGGGGGTTTCAGAGCTGCCGCCAAACTTCCTGGACAACCTACAGGCCACAGCCTTCACTGAGAAGTGAACAGGGTTGACCCTCCACTTAAAACTGTCCCTCACACTACTCATTAAAACCACCCACCACAGAGCGCCCCAGCTGTGCTTCCCACACCTGAAGGAAAGAGAATCG